TAAACCACCTGCATGCCATAGAATTAGCAGCCTGCAGCTGTTAACTGATATTTGCAGCATCTGTTTATGTCACAAGGTGGTAAACTACTCAGGCATTCATATACAACTCCTATCTCTGATTCATGTTCCTGTCTATGATAGGTGAGTTTGCTCAAGCTCTGGAAGTGATTTGGGATACAAACTATTTTCATAAGAACTTTTGTGATACAAAAGTGATACATTTGTGATACAAATGTGCAGTATCTTAAAACTATAAAATTAAAATGAAAGATCTATTTCAGTCAGTATAGCAGTAAAAAACTTAGGGACTTTCAGGTGTTTTTGTTTTTTTTTGTTGGAAGGTTCTGTAGTAGCAGGAATGGCATTAAAGAGAAGCTAGTTATTTCTTATGTTTCTCTGTGTGAGCCCATCAGTCTGCAGTCCGCTCCTAAAAGGCCTGCTATGGAGGAGTGACTAGAGGTGCCGTCATCTTGTGCCAGTCTGAGACAGGGCTTCTATCAAAGGGGCTGTGCTTGCCTGTCATCTGTGCTCTTCTGAGGGTGGTGTTTGTATGCTCAATTAAACCGACTTGGTCACCAGCCTTACAAGGAGAGGAAATACCAGATTGCCATTTGAGAGCCACTACTGGAACACCTAATAAAATGTCAGTTTGTTGATTAGATTTTTAAATACTGTTCCAACATTTGTAAGATCTGTGTGGGAATATTAGATTGGTTTAAGGTTTTGGTTTATCCATTGATACTAAAATCCCTTTGCAAGGTTAATGGCAAAAGCTATTTCTGATGTGACTTAGTTTTTTGTAAGTGAGGTGGTGATTATGTTCTCTGATGGGGTAGTTTTATTTCATTGGTGATATAAAAATCGTCTTTTATATATAAACACCGTTCACAGAATCACAGAATGGACTAGATTAGAAAAGATCTTTGAGAACATCAAGTCCAGCCTATGACCTAACCTAACACCTCCTCAACTAAACCATGGCACTGTCTGCCACATCCAGTCTTTTTTTAAACACATCTAGAGATGGTGACTCCACCACCTCCCTGGGTAGACAATTCCATTGCCCAATCACTCAGTGAAGAATTTTTTTCAGACATCTAACCTAAGCTTCCCCTAATGCAGCTAAAGACTGTGTCCTCTTGTTCTGTCACTGGTTGTCTGGGAGAAAAGACCGACCCCCACCTGACTACAACCACCTTTCAGGACGTTTCGGAGAGTGATATGGTCACCTCTGAGTCTCCTTTTCTCCAGGCTCAACAACTCCAGCTTGCCCAGTCATTCTTCATAGGGCTTGTGTTCCAAGCCCCTTACCAATCTTTTTCCCCTCCTCTGGATGCACTGAAGCATCTCAACATCCTTCCCAAACTGAGAGGCCCAGAACTGGACACAGCACTCCAGCTGTGGCCTCACCAGTGCCGAGTACAGGAGAAGAATGACCTCCCTGCTCCTGCTGGCCACACTACTCCTAATACAAGCCAGGGGCCGTTGACCTTCTTGGCCACCAGGACACACTGCTGGCTCATGTTCAGCTACTGTCACCAGTACCCCCAGGTCCCTTTCTGCCTGGGCACTGTCCAGCCACATCATCCCCAGCCTGTAATGCTGCAGGGTGTTACTGTGGCCAAAATGCAGGACTTGACACTTGGACTTATTAAACTTCATCTTATTGGACTTGGCCCATCTGTCCAGCCTGTCCAGGTCCCTTTGCAGAGCTCTCCTACTCTCCAGCAGATTGACACGTGCTCTCAGCTTGGTGTCATCTGCAAATTTACTAATGGTGGACTCATCCCCTCATCCAGGTCATCACTGAAGATATTAAACAGGACTGCCTCCAGCACTGATCTCTGGGGGACACCACTAATGACTGGATACAGCACTGCTCACCACCACTCTCTGGGCCTGGCCATCCAGCCAGTGGTTAATCTAGTGAAGAGAGCACCTGTCAAAGCTGTAGGCTACCAGATTTTCCAGGGGTATGCTGTAGGAGATGGTGTCAAAAACATTGCTGAAGTCTAAGTAGGCAGTGGATGTTGTCTTTCTCACATCCACCTGATGGGTGACCTGATTATAAAAGCCATCCTATAGGTGCTATGTGGCACTCAAGATGATCTGTTCCATAATCTTGCTGGGCACCAAGGTCAGGCTGACTGGCCTGTAGTTTCCTAGATCCTCCTTCCAGCCCTTTCTGTGGTTGGGTGTCACACTGGCCAGCTTCCAGTCAGCTGGGACTTTTAGCTGAGCTAGGACTGATGGTAAATGATGAACAGCTCCACAAGCTCATCTGCCAGTTCTCTCATCACCCTAGGATGAATCCCATATGGTCCTATATATTTGTGACCATCTTATTGGCTCAGCAGATCTTTGGCTGTTTTGTCCTGGATAACAGGGGGACCATCCTGCTCCCTGACACCATCTACCAGCCCAGGACAGCAGTTGTCCTGAGGACAACCTGTCTTTCTGTTGAAAGCTAGGTCAAAGAAGATGTTAAGTACCTCTGCCTTTTCCTCACCTTTAGTTACTAAATTCTCTCTTGTATCTAATAGACAATGGAGGTTGTCCTTGTTCTTCCTTTTGCCATTCATGTGTTTATAAAAATATTTTTTATTGTCCTTTACAGAAGTGGCCAGATAGAGTTCTAGCTGGGCTTTTGCCTCTCTAATTTTTTTCCTACGTGATCTAGCAATTCCCTTAAGCTTTTTTGGAGATACCTGACCCTCCTTCCAAAGGTGATACACCCTCTTTTTTTCCTAATTTCCTTCAAGAGCTCCCTGCACATCCATGCTGGTTGTTTTCCTTGTTGGCTCATCTTTCAGCACATAGGGACAGTCTGATCCTGTGCCTTCAAGATCTGTTTCGAAGCATGCCCATGCTTCCTGGACTCCTTTCTTTTTAAGGGCTGCTTCCCAAGGAACTCTCTGAATAAGTCTCTTGAATAGGCCAAAGTCTGCCTCTGGAATTTCAGCATGGAAGTTGTATTGGTGCCCCTACTTATTTCACCAAATACTGAAAATTCTATAATTTCATGACCACTGTGCCCCAAATAACCTCCACCCACTACACCTCCCACCAGCCGATCTCTGTTTGCAAACAGCAGGTCTAACATAGTCCCTCCACTGGTAGGCTTGCTCACCAGCTGTGAGAAGAGCTGTTGTCAAAGTAGAATTATTAATATTTTAAAATTACGTACAGTTTTGTGTTCTGTCCCTATGGTTCCCATACTCTGACTGCCTTTCTGTTTTTTTCTTTCTTACCTGCAGTGCTTTCCCCCCACTCCTCCTTCTTAAACTTCTGTTTACTAATTTTTTAGGAGCAGACTCTATAGCTGCTTCAAAGCTGCTTGTGTTCTGACAGCTTGCCATCATAAGCCAGAAAGCTAAAGAAAAGAGATCTAGTAAGGCAGATGCTGCAAATTTTGCCTTGGACTACAGTTTCATGCTGCTGTATGTTATTGATCTGCTGTCTGCTGCATTTCTTTTCCCTCGTTTGAACTAACTCTTACGCTTGTCTGACCCTACATTAAGCCATTTCTGTTTTGCTTTGTTACTCTTCTTGTTGGATTAGCATGCAGACAACTGAAACTGCTTCAGAACTCATCTAAGCTGTGTGAAGAAATGAGCAGGAGCATTCTGTAGGGAAGAGAGTAGAGACAGCACCACTAGCAACTGGCTTAGGCTGTTGGAATTGCTACATTGTTTGGGACATTAATCTGAGTGTCATCAGTTGGGCAGAACTCATTTTGTGACAAAACTAAATGCAAGTTTCCTATTTCTGTTAGATTTTGTTGAAACTGGCTACTGGTCTTAGAATTAAAGTCCAAAATAAGATACATGGTGATTATATTTCTGTAGGCATTGTTTCCTTATTAAACCATACTAAAAAACTTTGCTGAATTTGGTACTAGAAAGACCAGTGTCACTATATGCAAACCTCTGGTACGCACATCTTTTATTGGTGGTGTGGCTCTTTTCCTTATCTCTTTGTTTGCTATCTTTTATTCATAGATATGTCTCTTATGATGAGCTGTTGCTGACCTCTAGTATAAGGCTAGATTAGCTTTATCTTGCTGGTCAGATAAAACAAAGTACAGCAGGAACTTGGATGTTACAGTATAGTATGTTATGTGATAATGGCTCACAGTTTAAACCAAATATGTTATTGTCAAATTTTGAAGGCTGAAAAGATGAAGTTTGACTGTGCAGAACAGGAAGAATAACCCCTCCTAGTAAAAGAAAGAAAAGTTAACTGTAAAAAGTAGTATGTTTACAGACCTAAGTAGCTTGAGTACTCCTGCTGACTGCATTAACTTCTACTTTTCTGTGCTTCCACATACAGAAGAAATTGCCCATTTGCTGACCAGTGTCCATGTAATGGGAAGTAGTTTCACTGATTTCTGACACAAGTGGGTTATCTTAGGGGGACAATGTTTGTGTTACCTGTCTGACTGTAGTGTAAATTCAGCTGCTGCCAATTCTTCTTGGACTGCTTTTTGTCCTGTGGGGGACCAGTGGGCAGCAGCATATAGTGGTTGTAAGCAGCCACAGACCTGCTGTGGTTACCTCAGGGGGTAAAGAGATAGGTGGGAGACTGAGGCTATTGAGGATCTAGTTAGCTTGGAAAAAAGTTGAAAGTACTGAAGGAGAAGCAGATAAAGAGTTGTGAGGAGTAGAAAGCCCTGTAGTTATTGTGCAGGGAGGATGTAAAGTGGTACTTTGAAGGTCTGTTAGAAAACTTTTTTTCTACTTAATTTTAAAGGCAGAACTACTTTTTCAAAATAATAACTCATTTTTGTTCAATTTTTGAAAATAACTGCTTTGACTGTTTCTAGAAAAAAGTTGTAATTAAAAAGCTTCATGCACTTCAAAGTATGTGAGATCTAATACCTTCAGTTCTGATAATTAATTTTAAGCAACATGTAAAATCTCCTTAAATTAATTTCTATTGGTCCTTTACAGGACTATTTTTTAACATTGTTTAACACTTATTTCTTGTCTTTCTTTTAGGTGTCGGGAAATCATGTTTATTGTTACAGTTCACAGACAAGCGGTTTCAACCAGTCCACGATCTCACTATTGGTAGGTCTTTTTTGTGCTGTCCACTGTTAGTAGTTAAGTGGTTCGGGTACCTCAGCACGCATTTAGGAGTTTGTTGTGCTGCAGAAGTGCAGGATTTGTGCTGTGTTAAGGTGGCAGTGAATCTGTAGCTAATTAATATTTGTTAGCTCGTAAAGTCGGTTGGGGGTCTTTTATTGGGAGGGTAGAATCTGAAACAATTGAAAAAGTTCGCAGCTGTGGTATCTAAACTGTTTCTTCAGAAAAGCTGAAAACTGGGCACAGAAGTATTGGCCAAGCTTGAAATGCACTGGTGAATGTAATATTAGCCTAGCCACACAACCTTGAAGGCAAGTTACAGATAAACTATAGCAAAGTTAACCTTAAAGATGAATGGATAAAAAAAATTTTCTTGCAAAGACTAACTTTTGAATAGAGGACCAAAGTGTGAATGTATTTGCATTTGGAAGGGATAGGGATTTTCTTTCCCAACTCTTCAACTGGATGTGGACCATTTGTGTTAGGTATGATTTGGTACTGGGGGAATGAATACATGTTGACACATTGCCTCTGACCTAACTACGATAAATAATGCAAACTTCTATTTATCTTTCCACACAAAATAAGAGGAATAGTGTGGTACTAAATTCTTCTGAGGGCAGGTTTAGTCTGCAGATCACTTTTGCTGTTAAGCATAACAGATGCTAGTTTCAGAGGAGGTTACAGAACCTTTCAGCTTGTTGATGTTCTTTCAAGGAACCTATCAGCTTTAGTCATGAGTTGTGCACAAAATGTATCCTAGTCTCTATTTTTAGTTTGTGCCCTGGAGTAGGTAGGCTCCCTATGTTTGGGAGTACTGAAATAGTTGCTTGAAATATAAACAGATTTTCTTCATGTAACAGAATGTATCAGGTGGTTTGATTATGGATTCCCTTTCTCCTGACAGTCCTTCCACACCTTGTGCGTGCCTGTCGTATAGTTCAAATTCTTTGGCTAACATCAGTTTTCAGATATTTGTGAGATCTTGGCAGCAGATAGGCTGGCTGAATAAAGAGCCCGAGTACTTTAGGGAGGCATGACTTATCATCTTTTCTTCTTTAGGCCTGCCAAATATATGACACCTTATATATCACTCATGGATTTGGCAGCCCTATTACCTCAGACTGATAGGCTCTGGGAAACAGTTTCACCTCAGCAGGGTGGTTGTAGTGCCAGTTCTTTGCTTGGCATACAGCTAGCTGAAATCTGGGAGCAGAGCAGAAATTGAAGCTAGTAAGATGAGGAGGTGAACCTAGAAACAACATAACGAGGGATGTAGTAATGGAGCCTGGGAAGCTGCTTGAAAAGGAGGGAAGAAGGATTTTAGATTTTATATTTTTAATATATTTGTAATCTTTCAATTCTTTAATGTATAACTCAACTCCATATAGTGTTAGCTACTGTTTGCCCATTTTGGTCAGACAAAACAATTCTCTAGGTTTGGGAATCAAGGACACCTTACTGTCTCAGGCCCTGAAAATGTAAACAGAAGTGATTGGAGAGCATACTTGGGAAAAATTACTTCATTACCTGAAGCTGTAATTGGAAGATTAACCCCCAATATGCAAATGGAGCAAACTTATAAAAGTGTGAAAAGCTGTGACCTGTCATCCATTTTTGGGTGTAGCCCCTGGAGGGGGCTTTGTCTGCCCAAAATGTACCTGAAGCCCTTCAATGAATACAACTGCTTTTTATTCCCCTTGGTTTTGTCTGACATCTGTTTTTAGGTAGACCCTAAAAGCATCAGAAGAGGCTGGAAATGCCTCCTCAATTGCTAGGGCATGTATGTATTTTGGCCAGGTTCTCCCAGCTACCCAAACAGATTTGGAAAGCCAGATGAAGAACATGGGTTCAAAGTCATATGAATTCCCCTGTGGGGTGAGATGGGGTGGGTTGAATTTAACTAATAAATACCCTAATGGTTGTATTAAAAGACCTGAAAATGTGTAAATTAAATAAACCATTGTAAACATTTTAGCTGTTCTGACCATTGCCTGTAGGACATGCCCTCACTGTAAACCTGATCAGCTTCTATTCCTTCTTTGAGATCAAGCTTGCCATCAAACTGTTTATATTTTTACAAATGCGGTATTTTTTCCTGGTGCATATTTTGATGGAATAGGATAAATACTCTTAATTTTTTTATGGGGTTGTGTGCAGAAACTAAACATTTAAGGTGATTGTTGGATTTAAATCATCAGCTCTATAGCCACATTTTGAGATCAGGTAAAACCTTCAGTGTTTACATGTGTAGTAGACCAAGGACCTTCCCCTGGCTTTGCAGTCAACTTCAGGAAGAGCAGTGTCATTCACCTACTTCCTCCTTGCTGCCTCTCCATTCTTTCAATTTCTTTGCATACAGTTGCAGCAAATTATTTGGTTGCTAAAGAGTATGGTGGTCTTTGGCCAACAGGTTTTATTTGGTTCCAATATCCTATTGGGGAACTCTTACCCTTTCCCTGAGAGTCATTCCACAGGAAGCAACACTGCAAATATTCTAAGCAAGCTTTTGAATTTTGAAGAGACATTTGGAATATTTCAACTCGGGGCTGCATAATTAAAAGTCTTGAGTTCAAGTCTAGGCAATGACCACTTTAGCAAAACTTCAGCTAGCAGATCAGTTTGTTTTTTTTTTTTAAATAATGGTTATAGATTAATGGCAACTTGATAACCTTTAAATATGTCCACTATCTCTAGCCATTTGTGAGATTTTAACTACTGCAGTAATAGCCTCAAGTTATACTTGGTTTACTGTTAATGATCTCAAGACTGCTTTAAAAAATGGTATAAAAAGCTGGATTTTTCCACTGAAAAAGTAACATTTGTTTATTTGGAACACACTTTTTTTTCCCTCAGTTATAAAACTTGATCTTTAGCTTGAATTTTGGAAGTTGTTTTTTTTTTTCTTTCATAAAGACAGGTGGATTTTAATTAACATGATAATAAAATTTATCTTGTTGAAGGGACTCTTTTTATGCTCACTTAATTGGTTATTTTTTTGATAAAGAATTGTAGGTTTAATTTCTTCTAAACTGGCCCCAGCAATCTGTCATTGGTAGAGTGTTAAAATAACTGTGACTCTTTAAGCTCCTGTTTACAAAGGGGTGTGTTTCTCCCTCTAATCTAGAGCTACTAAGTGGTTTGGAAAACTTTTTTGGAAATATCTCCCAGGCACTTGGACAGTAACAGTTACCTTTCTTCTAGAAAGCTCTTTCAAGCAGCTGGAAAATTGTCTAAAAAGCAGGTTGTGAAAGAGATCATTTTCCTACAATGTTGATTGAATTTAAACTTACCTTCTTGCTTTTGCACTACTTGACATTTTTCTTTCTATGTGCTAATAATGTAATCTTTTGTAAAATCTGTTCAGGTGTAGAATTTGGGGCTCGAATGATAACTATTGATGGAAAACAGATAAAGCTTCAGATATGGGATACGGTAAGTAATGAATCATAAAAATTGTTTAAACGTATTGCTCCACTAGCTTTTCCTTTATTCTGGCTGAGCTGTCTAGCATCAGCATTCATAGGTTATGTACTTTGTCTTGCAGCTTTCTTTGGTTTCTATGAAGTTAAAAATTTGCTAATATTTCCTTTTTTTAGTGTGATGTATTCTTTGGCAGTGGCAATTCGGCAGAGTGTAAATTCTGTAACACTTTGTCAGATTTATAGGACTGGAATTCATACTGCCTCACTGTTTGGTGAAAATCTTCTATATTACCAAGAACTTACATTTCTCAAAACAATCTTTCTTTGTGCATTCATGCAAGATTTGTTAAAGACAAAATTCTGTTGTGAAATTGTGATGTGTCTGCTACCTTTAATCAATAGTTCTTTAGAGGAAACGCTTGCATTTCCAAGGTAGAAGAAAGCACATGGATCGCTTTTCATAGAAGACTGAAGAATACAAGTTCAAGACAGTAAATATTTCAGTCAAGTAGGGGTAAATGCTTTAAGTTTCAAAACACCTTCCAAAATTCAGACTTCGACTTTTGAGGGGGTTCAGGTTAAGAAAATGGCTATTCTTGTGTTGTCAGTCACTTTACTATAAAGCAGTCAGGATCACTGTCTACACTTGTGATGAAGCAGGTTTAAGATGTTCATACTGGTAGCTATGTCTTTTAAATGTATTTGACTGTTTCCTGAGGCAGAGTTGCCTGTTTCCTTTTCTAAAAGCATTTTATGATACCTTTAGAAACTGTTATGTGATCCCTAGCCTCATGCATGTGCTCTTTTTGGTACAGAAAATCAGTGAAGGAACATACATTCATATATGCATGCCTACACATGTGCATGTGTATATAAAAATGTAAATATATGTAATATTTTAGTGAACTTCATAGGTATTTAAACTTAATTTGCAAGTTCTTTACTTGAAATGTCATCCAACACCTGTGCCTCCTTGCAAGTTCTAAGAAAAAGGCATAGATTGATATGGTCAGCTTACTTTAGGCTTTTTCTGTCCTGGGCATATTATAATAGTGGACTACTCCAATAGTAGACTTGCAGACTACCAAGGTGGCTGAGGATTTTTAAGTTCAATAAACAAGCAAATACCTGCATAAAAAGTAGCTTTATAAATCAAACCCTTACTATATAGTGTGACTGTGTGACTACATGCCTATATTGGACCTTGTTTTCTGAAATGGGGGCAGATTGTAGGCAAAAGTACTAATTTTACTCCTGTGTTTCACTGGCTTTGGAACTGATTCTGTTAACTTCCTTAGATATGAATGAACTTCAACTGTGTTTCAGTACATCATGCTTTTCCCGGTGCCTCTGACTCAGTGACTCTTTGCAGTCTGGTTGTTGTCTTGAATACGTGCAAATTGTCCAACCAAAATGGCAACCCAAATGCTTTTGACTATAATTTATAAATTCTGTCTGTGCAGGGATTTTTATCTGACTAGCTTCTTAAGTATATCATACATAAATTAAAAATATTAATTGAAAGCTTTCATACACTGAGTAGATTGTATTGCTGGTGTTGTACTTAATAATTTATAAATTGTATGCAGTGAATGACAGTATACCGGTCATAGTTAAGTTTAACTGTATGCAGTCTGATTTTTAAAACATAGGATATTTGTATTCTAATCCAGTCTTGGTTTGTCAGCATATCTGAATTCCACTGTATTGTTTGATCTTGTGTACAAAGGTGTGAAGGAATAGCAGAAATAAGAAACATGATGAGGTAATTCTCAAGAGATATTTTACTTATGAGTGTTAAGGTACACAAAAATCCATAATGACCAAGGTTACTGTGCTGTATCTGCATTGAGCATTTTTTTGTTTTCTGTTAGCCAAAACTGGTAGCTGTTACTGGTGCTATCTCTGTATTTATTAAGGTGTAGCAACTTCTGTTTGATGAGAGAAGGTTCATTTTACACCTGTTGCTAGGGAAACACATGAACTATTTATGTTTTCGGTTGGTGCTTGCTGAGTCATAGAACTAGCCCTTCTCTAATTTGGTGCTGGCCTTATACACCTGCTTTTACTTCATCACTGAACAGGATGCATCCTGAGCAGAGGCATAAGTGGAGAACTCAATAAAACTTGTTTGCATTGCTTAACAATGAACTTGCTTGCTTAAGAGAATCAAACACTAAAATTCAGGTTTTTCTGGCTAGATATTTCTGTGCAACAGTGCTCATTTTGTGTTGTCTTCAGCAGATCACTACAGCCCCAAGGAAGGGTGTGTCATAGTAATGGGAATATATGGAAGTTGCAGCAGAATGCCACTGCAGGAATATGTTGCACCTTACAGGGACAACTGAAGCTAATACTCTTGCATGTCTGTGAGATCCATTTGATCCTTCTTGTATGATAACCCAATGATATTTTACCTTTTTGTTACCGTTCTAGTTTGGATTAGCAGCATATTATGGAAGTTAGTTCTCTCTACTGTAGTCTGTTTTCCATGTGGGAGTACATGAGCTGAATTCCTTTTGGATGAGGCCAGACTGGAAGATATGCTTAAGGAATGCACGTATGCCTATTAGAAATTGTAGTCCAGTATTTGGGCCTGTGAGCTGGCAGTCTAGTAAAACTAGTCTGATACAAAAACACACCTAGCCGCAGCTCCCTCCCCTCCAAAAAAAACTCCACAAACAAGAATCTATATTCCATGAAAGATACTTATTGTGATCTTTGCATTCTTAATGTCATGTGTTGCAGTCACAGCTCTACTGCTGTTCATGTCTGCACAAGCAAATAGTGTCCTGTTGTTCTCTCCCAGCTGCAGGCTGTTCTGGATCTCCCCACTGCTGGGCTCTGCAAGCTTTCTGCTGTGTGTGCTGTGGCACACCCAGGTGTTTAGCTCTGTGAGTCTTTGGGTTTCACTATTCCTTTTCAGTGTTCTTAGGTCTGTAAAGAAGAGGTATTGGACCAAATTGTTCGTTGGTGTGTCTTTAGTATCTAGATTATTTCTTTTCTTTTGTCTTTAGTCTTAGTAATGGCTTCCAGTAGTTGGATGGACTGATAAATACTTTTGTCTGAACTGCTTAGCTGGTAATTGCCTATTATGATACCTTAAGCAACTCTTTTGTGGAAGTGTGGAATTTGAGCTAGTGTCAGCTGCACACATAACTTTTAGGGAACTAGAAGTGGTTTTACAGCTGCTAGTAAGGATTAAAATGACTGTTCTGGAAGCTGTTAAGCTTTTTGAGTTTAAATAAGCTCTGTTCATAAGGTTGGTTGTCTTGTGGCAGCAGCATAACATTAAGACATACAGAAATTGCTTCTCCTCAGAAAAAGTACATTGTCGTGGAGAGATAACTGGGCTTGTTACCAGGCTGAGTCAGTGGCCTTGGTTTTGTTGTTGAGGGGGATGTTCTGTACTGCACTGGCTGTTACTAAGAAGTCATTGTTGATGAGGAAAAGTAAGCAGTAATTGAAAGAGGCTATTTGTCAGACACTGCAGTAGGAGAGATATGTGATGACACTAAATAATGCTGGTGTTCTCTAAATTGGTATGAAAATTAACTTCTGTTTACTGGAATACTATATTTTTTGTATCTATTTCAGCTTTATTTCATGGAAATCCATGCTTTAGAAACATTAATTCATTATTGTGTTTGAATATAGCACTTTAGTCCTGCTTAGACAGACTAAATATCTGAAATAATTGGTTTTTATAAACTAATTTCAAGTAGTTTCTGGATTTCCATACAAGTGTACTTTCTAATTGAATTGATAGTGTTTTCCAGTAGTTGAGAGCTTGTATTCAAAAACATGTTTGTGGAAGACTGGAGGCATAATTGTTAAAGGCATATTTCACTTTCAGATATTCTGAATATACTACCACTTCTTGGAAATAAAGATATTTTTCTTGTGTTTGCAATTGGTTTGGATCTATTAGAACCAAGTAAAGTTCTCTTTATTCATTAAATGAATATTCATCCTAGTGACTGACAACTGCTAGGATCTAGGGTTCACCCCCAAGAGCTCTTCACTACCTGTTTACTTTGTAATGTTTTCTACTTGCTTTGATAGTCAGAACATAATCATATGTTTGTGAGCAGTTGGTATATTCTTTTACTAGATTTTTACTAATCTTTCTAACTATGTTACCTGCATGCATATTGCTGATCTCATGGCCCTCTGTTACGCTGCTGTGAGGTTACATGAAGAACTTAGAGAGGATCAACTTTAGTTTGTGAAACTAGTCTGATCATCAGTCACAGACTGTGTTTGCTGCCACGTGGGAGGATTAACTTATTTCTGGATCCATGGATTGAAGAGTGAGGCTGGGAGATTTGTCTGTGTAATAGTTATTCCTGTTGCTGTTTATTAATTCGGCCATCATCTAAACTTCAATGCCAGTAGCTTAAGTTACTGTTCACACCCATGATGTCACTTTAGGTAGCTAAGGCAACTTGCTACACCTTTTAGCTTAGTGTTCATAAACCTTTGTCATGCTTTAATGTATTTGGTTGACTATAGTATTGCTGGCATGTTATTTTATGAATTGCTTTGTGATTTTTTGGCAGTTTATCTATGCTTTCTACAATAATTACAAGATTTCTACAAGAGCAAGCGCTTGCTTAGGATAAGGCCTTAAATAGGAGGAGTAGGAATCACTTTTTGCACAATAGAACTCATACTTTAGTGTGGGTTGCTACTTAAAACCTAAAGGTTTCAAATACAGTTTCTTTCACGTTATAAGTGTATTTCTGATAATGGAAGGCTAAAGCTTTGTTTCTGTGATGTGTTGGGAATTGCTTTGAATATCTAAGTGGCATTTATTCAACACCAGCAGAAGAAAAGGCAGATGTACAAATTATCTGTATTTAGACATATGTACAGTTTCATCCTCGGGGATTTTTAGTCCTGTTGAAATTTCAGTTCTTACTGCATGCTGGCAGGGTTATTCTCAAGCAACATGTAACTTGACTAAATCTGTCACATAAATTCTGAGACTTTCATATACTGTGATAGATTCTTTTTCTTAAGCAATTTTTAGTTCTGTTTTTGTTTGGGAATGTCTTTGCTGGAAACAGCAGGGGTTGTTTTTTATTTTTACACTACTTCTGTGCCTATTTGTCATACATGCTAGTAAACCACCTTAAAATTCTTGTTTTTCTGGATTGGAGACAGATTGCAAGAAAGATTAATGCATTTGTATAAACAAGTTGACATGTGACTAAGGGGCTGTTAATGTATTTATAACTTTCAAAACTATATTTAAAGATATGTATTGCTCCTCTTTCTTTCTGGAACATTTTATTCCAGGGATCAACTTTGTTGAGTAGTTCCCAGCTGGCAGCTGTCACAGGTGGAATGACACTTGTGAGTTGGTTATTTCTTAGATGTCTTTTCAGTCTTCTTTGTAACTTAGGAAAGTGTAAACAGGTAAATAATAATTCCCAACGTGAATGAAATATTCTGACACCGGTTTTGAACATACCACACATGTATGCCTGTTTTCAGAGTGAGGGAATCTAGAGCTACTAACTAGGTGGTTTGTAGTTCTCATATTGCATGTGGATGTGTACTCTAACATTCCCTCCTAATAAAAAGTATTGGTCAGCTTGCACGCTGAATGCCTGCTGGGACATTCTCAGATAACTTGGTCCTTGAAGAAATTTTACAAATTCCTCTGCATTGAGAATAGAGAATTCAGCAAAATTAATGAACTTTTTTTTTCTAGTGTTATACACTGTTCTGGATGCTGTTTTTTAAACTACTTTCTTATCCTGCATTATGGCTCTTTTCATTTTTTCCCTTACTGTATAGAATTAAAAATATGCAGTTAAGGGACTTGGAAGTAATTCTTCTTGAAAACAAAGGCTTGCCTGCATATTTTGCAACTGATGCTACTACACCACATACTTGGAAATTACATCAATATTTCCTGTGGAAATAGTAACACCTGGAGTATTTTTTTAAATATGCCAGAGATACCATGGTAACGTGGTTGCATAGCTTAAATGTTCGTGAAAACACTAGTGCAGGTCCTAAAACTCCATGGATCTTAGTGACCTGAGATGATTGATAGTGTTTCGTGTTCTGCTTACATTGTTATTTTCAAACTGTGTTTTGGTCTCTATACCAAAGTATGCTTTGAAAAGCACATGGGATATATGTCTCTGCAGTTGAAGCAGGGATGAAGATTTTTGTACTTGCTTGAAGATCTATGACTTCTAGAACTATGTCTATACAGACAAGTCTCTCCTATCAGAAGGTTTGTTTCTGTGAACTATTATGGTATGGTAAAAGCTTACAGAGTAGGAAACAGCCAAAAAAGAATGTTACTTTGCACTTGAAAAATTGCTTCGTTATCAGAGGCTCACATTTTTTCATGATTAGTGAACTACTTGTGTCAGACCTAGCACCTGTTTCTCTGAAGAGAGAGGAGGAGGCATGTTGAGGCCTGCTCAGTGTGTGGTTACAGGTTCCTGCAGGCACCCGTGTCTGAGCTGGAGTTTGTGTGTGAAGTAGCTGTCAGGTGTGGCTATTACCAGAAACATCCTCCATCTTCCCATTTCCACTGCAGCGTAACTCTGACAACGGGTATAACCTGGGATTGTCTTGGAGCAAAAGCTTGTGTCACCTGTACTGGATGTAATCCGGTTTTGGCAAATACCCTGTTGAATATTTGTTTCCTTACTATGGCCCCTATTATTCCTGACACCACAGCCCCCTGCCTCCCCCACCATCTGGGTGTGGAACTCAGCAATCTGCTTTGAATGGCTTTACTTGAGCCAGGGAGGTTGGAATAGGGGACCTCCAGAGGTCCCTTTCTCATCTCAACTGTTCTGTGAAAAAAAGCTTTTTAATATGGAAGAGAGATAAAAACAAGTAAGTGCTGGATTTTGCAGGAACGTGAAAGAGATGGTAATAACAAAATTATACTTAAGATAAAGGGCCTTTCTCTGGTATTGAGGCTGATTTTAATTCATACTGAGCTTCTATACTGCTGCTTCTATCTGTTGCTCCTTGTAACAAGCAGCTAAGCTTGGGTAGGTCCTACTTTGTAAGACTGATAAAGTACAATTATAGCACACTTGGGATTTTTTAAAATAAATTTTGGCTAGTAGCCACATTCTTTCGGTTTTGACTTATTTTGACTTTTGAAATAGCTTGTCCTCTTGGAAAAAAGGGAAGCACACAGAGAGGAAACTGTCAGATGAAGTAAAGTAACGATGCAAAAAAAAAAAAAGCAGTGGGATGTATTCTTCATGCCTAACCCTATGTTCGACCTTATATATTAATCCTATATTGACCTTCTAAATCTCATTCAGAATAATACTGTTAAAGTAGCCAGTAAATTTTAAATATAATGTGTTTTTATTATATAATACATTTTTACATCATAGATAAAATAAGCATTAGTATCATGGAGCTTCTTTATAGAAACACAGTTTTATTTTGCTTAGAATGAAAGGGAGTTGAATTTGTGTTGTCCATTGGTATATGTAAGCATAAATTAATTATTGCTCTGTGGAGAATGTGATCCCTTCACCAAAGAAGGTACCTTTTTCCACCCTTTCCTTAGGGAAGCTCCATTGTCAAGTGAGATGCAATTAAAATTATTACAGTACTTTTAGGATTTATATATACTGAACTTTTGAAAGTAAGTGATTCTCTTAAGAATTCCCAATTCATGTTTTTTTGTAAAATCTGTTGGAACCTCTGACAGTGTTGCTTGATCATGATTAATTTACTCAGGGAGATGAACAATTTCATGTCAGGGTGGAATTTATGAAGGTGTAACAGGCAATCTTAATGTGTTAGGTGAAGTCCAGGTCATGTATGATTTTAGGCAATGTATGGAATACCCTGGTAAGTTGTCAGTTTAGCAGGAAAATGTTTCATTTATCTACCATCCACTTGAGCTAGTCACCACACCAAGAAAAAGTAGTAAAGCTTATTTGAATTTCTCTGTAGGAAATTATTCTTCCAGGTATTGTGCTAAAAAACTGTTGGTTATTTGTTTTTTGTTCTTTCTTGGTGTATTCTGCTGGTTGTCTGTATTCTATTAACAAAGTTTACGTAAAGATGTTACCGAGGTTTACATGAAGATGTACTTGAACTCTTGGCCAAGGGCATATATGAGTGTATTCTAATGATGTTGAAAGTGTTTTACTGTATTTATAATTGTTTCCACCGGAATGGCTAAGATAGTGTTTTCTTAAATAGAAGTTACTGTTTATTCTGGAAGATAAGGGTGATTTCTGAAGACTGAACAATCTAAACTTGTGTCACTGTTCTTGTTGAGTTGACAGTATCTAGATCAAGCTCTCTTTGAATTCAAGATCTAGTATTAAGAAAAGTACGATAACTGTGAGAGGAAAAAGTCCATATACTAATTTTGTAGGCATGCCTGAAGGGTACCTTGTATTTAGTAAATATTTCATTCTTATGTTTAATGTTTTTTAAATCAGGGCAATTTCCTATAGTTCTACAGATTTACTGCACATAGGGATTTTTTCAGCATTCATATTTCTTAAACATGTTCTGTGTTATCTTTGAATTATGCTAAGGCATCTGTTATTACTAAATATTTAGAAGTAAATATTTCTTCTAGCAAGTGTCAAGTGCTAGATAGCTCTTCTTAAAAACATGAGGAGCTGAAGATCTGCAACCATGAATATTTATTTTTCGGCACTGTATTCTTTTGAGCACATTCTTTTAAGTGCTGAGAGTTTTACAGAATACTTTTTTGTGAGAACTATCTAATACATGTTGACTCTGAAGTTTTTCACAGCGTATATGAAGATGACTCTTGCATCCTGTAGCTGCTTTGACAAGCATTATTTATCAAGTACAGAGGAAATTGATTAACTGTGGAGCAGAATTGTGTAAAATTTAATTCACAACCATTTTCTGTTTTTTCTTAATAAAATTATTACTGAAAGAATTCCATCTGAAGGCTGTTGAAAGCTGGCTGCAGTTTATGATATAACGGATAGAATCTGCATCCTTGGCCTTCCAACAACCTTTACACCAGCAGATGGTGGGCGTAAAGATGTCATTCATCATTTATTTACAATGGACTTTATTTATTCTAGTGTCAACAGCTGCCCCAGGGAGCGGGTTATTGAATTCAAATGTGAAGCTCTGGGTTATTTGCTTCCTTTCAAATTTGTCTTCAGAGCTTAGTTGCTAGGAGTCCATTCTGTGCTCTAATAATGATTCATGTATTGTGAAGCCATTCAGTAAATTGGGTTGTCAGGGATTGCCAAAAAAGGTTTGGAGGTCTTGTTCCGATTTTTTTTTTTCTTTTTTAACAGCACTGTGTTGTAGTTGGTGTCTTCTCCCTATGTGCCTTCTCTTGCTACTGTTTGAGACTTTGTCCCCAGTTGTCCCCTTTCTGATTTCCATCCCTACTCTTCCTTATCCCCATCTCTCAAAACTAGAATTCTATGATCCTGTAATTCTAAGTTCATGGTTTTCAGGAACCAAAAATAAGTATTAGATATGAAGTAATGAAACTTTGTGTTCTACAGGCAGGACAGGAGTCCTTCCGTTCCATCACAAGATCATACTACAGAGGGGCCGCAGGGGCTTTGCTAGTGTATGACATTACAAGGTGAGAATACCAAATGGATTATAATAATGATACGTCTTTGTAGACTTGTGCCATGGTATACAGTAGTGCAAAGTGTCTCATCTAGCTTGGTTTTTTGTATAGATACTGGTAATCTAACATTGTGTCAACTTTTTTTAAGAGCTCTAAGTCAAGATATAGCATATGTAACCTATATACTTCCAGTTTTGTCTGTATGATAGTTGAGAAAGCATGCATAAAATCTTAGGAAGAATGAAATAAAATATTTTTATAAACTATTGACCATTGACCTCTGGATTACCTTTATTGTGAAATACCTGAAAATATTTCATTAATTCCTCTCTAGTGTTTTATTATCATAAGGGATATTTTTTCTTTAATTAAAACAGATTACCTTTACTGAAGTCCTAGTCTGCAAAGGGGTGGAATAGTAAAACATAGTAGTTTGGTTGCATAGAGAATACCAGGAAACTTGGGCCATTGCTGTGTTTCTGAGGTTTGGAAAATATAGGTCTTAATCTGATACTTTTTAGTAGCTGTTCAGAAGTTACTAGTTTCCCTTCTGTATTAAATAAAGTATCTATACACAGTTTATCTGTAAAACTGTGAGTACTCTGGCTGGTTTATGAAAATGTTCAGGCTCCAAAGTCCAATTAAGTTGTGTGCCTCCCTTTGTGGGTCTTGGATCTTGTTGTTCAATTGGGCTACAATTTGTGCTAGAGATTTACTAGATATTTTTCCTTTTGTTCCCTTTTTACATTTAAATATCAGGAAGTAATGTATTTTTCTTCCAGATTTCCAGTAAAGGAATTTTTGATTCATAAACAAAATACAATATCTTAGAACCACTCTATAAGCACAGGATTTATTACTTAGTTTACACCTTCTGTAAAAACTGTAATGGGTCACATTCATGTACCTCACCTTTAAAAGATTTTACTGCTAAATTTATTACTCAGTTTATGAACTCATATAAAAATTATCAACCATTTTCTGCTTTCAGTAAAACAAATATTACTATGAGTATGTGGTTATTTGTACTATTGTTTGTCTTGGTTGAAGCTGATGGGTACTTTTAAAATTCTGTTCAGTTTTTATATGTATATAAAATTACAGATTCTTACAGCTCTAAGAATCCTCTTTACTCTTTGTAGCAAACATGTTTCAATTACTTTTTAGGCAGAGTTCATTAACACTCCTTGTTTGCTAAATTTTTGTTCACCCTTTCTCCCTCTCACAAAGGGATTACTAGCTTTTATCTCTAGAGCATGTGCACTAATAAATGAGTTGGTTATTCAAGTAGAGAAGTGGACTAACAGGGGAAGAATTTCTTAAAATACTGCTTTTAATGTTCATTCTCTTCTATACTTAGGAGGGACACTTTCAATCACTTGACAACTTGGTTAGAAGATGCTCGTCAGCATTCCAATTCCAACATGGTTATAATGCTTATTGGAAACAAAAGGTAAAATTTTATTAGCTGCTGTTTTGTAAGAGGGAAAGACTTGACTTCTCTGTATTTCAGCTTTTGGGTTTTCTTACTTGTAGGCAATATGTTAACTTTAAATTCCCTTCTGTCACTGTGCATAGTTCTGTGGTGAGCCTAAAACCTTTCCTGTTCTACTTAGACTAAAACAATGTGCAGCACATGGATCAACTATGTTACGTTCCGAATATCTGTTTTAGGAGATAATTTTATTCCAAGGGATTGATTACAAATGCATGAAGCAGTGGATTATATGAATTTTCTCATTATGGTTTTTTGTTTCTGGAATCACCAATTAGAAACACCCAGATCTGTTCCTTATAAAGAGAATATGATTCCTAATTTGAGGTGTTCTAAAGTGCTTTGAAGTTTTTTGTTAAGTATCACATCAGAGAAAATGTCATTTTAAAAAAAAAACCTGTAGTACAGGTCTCACATTGAAGACTTCTCTCAAATGTAAGAAGTGCATACCTCAATGATGGAAACATTTCTGATTTACAAGCTCTCTTCCATATTCTGTACCTCTTAGCTGGGATAAGGGTCAGAGAATGCATTTTCACTGTTTCCTGGTAAATTCACTGGGTGATGAAATTACAGGTAAAAGTTGTGAAAGTATTACCCAATTTGTAATCAATTCCATACTTGATCTTCTCATCAGCTACACTGTCTAAAATTCTAAAATTATTCACTGTTGATGCTGAGACTTTGTAGTAAAAGTCCTAATGAAAACATATGAGTGAATACATTCTGTAATTCTTCTGGTTCTTGTTCCAGTGAATTATAGTATCATATCTAGAGTTGGTTTTTTTCTGAATGCAGAATTTTTTCAAAATATCAAAAGCATCACCTTAGAATTTAATAACCCATTAATTATGGGCCTTTGTGTAATTGACTTGAATTTGTCTCCATGCCTCGGCAATTTTTGAAGATGATGTCAGTTGATGATCTTCAGAAAGATGCCAGTTGAAATAATGGTGTGTATGCATGCCCCTGAAAATTTCATGAGCAGACAGATCATTTCTTAGATGTTGGTGAGAGGCAGCTTTGTGATAGTGAGTCCAGGTTTGCTATTCAGGCCTGTTGAACTCTTATTTTCTTCTTCTTCCCCTCTTCTCCCTTCTGTTTTCCCCCACTGTCCTATCACCCTCTACCTCCTCCTGAAAACTATGGTACATATTAAGCAAGTGTCAAGTTTTTCAGTGTTTTTTTACATTATCTGGTAAATGACTAACAACTTTCTTTTTAATTGAGGAATGTGTTAGGCATAATCTTGACAAATTAATATAAAAAATGTAGTCTTGTTTTATTAAATGAAGCTGTGGTAAACCCGTGATAGCCCTGACCAACTGTTTTTATACTTGTGTGAGTAAAAATATGGCACTGAGAGAAACAGTAAAGTATACTGTTTACTTGAGATAAATTTGCATACTTAATTGACATCTGTAACTCTTTCTGATTATTCTTAGCTGTTAAACTAAATTTTCATGTCTTGAATTCTGCTGATGCCGACTGATTTGCTATTTGCAGCTAGCCCAGTAATTCCCAGTTACAACTATGTTTTATTCAAACAATATACTTAAAATTTGCACAGTAAATTGTTACAGATTAAGGTGCCATGTGAACTAAAATTGTTAAGAGTTAAAACTTTTACCTTTTTAAAGGTTATTATTTTCAAGGAGGATAAGAAGAAAACTCCTTCAATTTTGTTGCATTATCCTGAATGAGTTCTTCTTGTAGGGTCTACTACTAGAGATGGATGGAAGGAAGAATGTGTATGCTAGCATAGTAGTTTTGAAGAAATAAATACTGCTCTTACGACGCCCAAAAGTGCACTTGACATAAGTTTGTAGTACTGACTTATTGCTGGATTTGAAGAGTGTTGAGAATTTAATTTGAAATATAATGGCTGTTTGTTGAAAACATTACAAATACTAGTGTTAAAACATTACAAATACTGTACCTAATCTTCTTTCCAGAACAAAGCATAGCTATATTGATCTAGTAAGACCAAATGCTTCGAATTATTGGAATGGAGAGAGGAAGACAACTGTGGTTAGTAGAAGCAGTTAAAGATCTTTAAGACTGTATTTAGGTATCAGTATTGAGTTTTGATTGGGCTGTCATTGCAGTTTTTGATAAAACTGCATTGTTTCAAGTAAAAAGTTACTTGTTTATGTTCTGTCATGGGGATAACACTGAAATGAATCAAGGTTTTAAATAAGGTATTTTTCGAGAGTAGCATGGTAGTAGCAAATAAAGACATTCCTCAGGTTGAAAAAAATAGTGTCAGCTAATACTGGGAGAGCTTAAATATAGTGGCCATAAACTTCAAAATTGTTTTGAGAAGATATATCTCATATCCTTATCTTCAATTTTTTTTTAATATTTAAATAATGTGTTGAATTGTATAGACTCTGTAACTCATTTAAGCTAGCATTTAGTTAAAAATTACAAAAACCTTCTTTCCTGCAAAATAGATGCCACAGTGAGTATGACTTATTTTTAATATATGTATAATTACAAAGTTGGCAAACACTGAACTCTAGTATGATACTTCTAATTTGTATACTGACTGCAAATTAAATATATCTATTTGTATGCTGTTTAGTTAAAAATTTGTATCTAAGAAGATACTTACGCATGTACAACTTAGATGAAAATTCATTGAAATATAAATCTTGCACTTATACATCAATAATAAATATATCATTTTTATTGCTCAAGATGCAATATACTTAGAAAGAAGGACAAATTGTGAATTCCTTGTTCTTAAATAATCTTTAAAAAGTAAGGGTTAAATACTTGTGTCTATATGACTTAGAGAAATGGATTTGTCTCTAGTTGTCTAGTCCAAGAGGGGTTTTTTTCTGCTTTTTTGGGTAATATTTAACTTTGAATTAAATGGACTTGGAAAGCAGGAACCAAGAACTTGTCTAACAGTTTCTTCAATTTTTGTTACTGCTGGAGGGCAAGAAGTTTCACAACCTAAATACCAGCTTACTGGGAGGAAGCAGCTAATGTAGTTCAAAAGAACTTATTTCTGCTTTTAAGTTTTTATCAGAAGAGAAATTGACTGTATGAAGTTTTGCTACTGAATAGAAAAAACAAACTTTATTTTTAAAATTATGTTTAATATTAATAATTTACAAAGCTCCTTTATCAGCTCAGCTTTATAGTATTGAATTGGTAGATAATATTATAATAGAAGAGGGTGATATGTAGTGAAAATACAATGTCTAAAGTGAGTACTGAAGGAATACCTAGATAAATACACACTCATCCTGTAGAAAGCTATTTCATGAAGTCTTTGATAAGATTTATGTCAGCTAGGATGTATAGCTCAAGTAAGTGTGGTGCCTGTGACTGTTCTATATGCTGTAAGTGCAGGGCTTGACAAGTTATGTACCCATGCTCTGATGGGGACTCTTGGCTTCTCAAGCTTATAAGCATGTCTGTGAAGAATAATCTTTATATGGACATATTAGACCATGCAATTTAACTTCTCTTTTTTTCTTTTATCTTAGTGATTTAGAATCTAGACGAGAAGTTAAGAAAGAGGAGGGTGAAGCATTTGCACGAGAACATGGACTTATCTTTATGGAAACGTCTGCCAAAACTGCTTCCAATGTAGAGGAGGTAACTTTGCTCAACACTGACTTTTTACTAAAGCAGTTACACTTGTTTGTATAGATACTATTCCTCTAGATTTTGGGTTCCTTAACTTGAATTAACTACTCTTTATATTATGAGAAAGACAGTGTTTTGCACTGTATGTTCTACAACATACAGTCTGTTGTAATTGATTACACAGCACTAATTATATTGTTGAGACTTCTTAATTAAAGTACTTGCAGGGTTTTTTGAAGTATTTGATCAGAGAAATGGCTAACTTCTGTCTGCCATGAAATATAAGAAGTAAGGCTGGAATAGATTTGCTAGTCCAAAGCAAGCCAAGCTATTGGTACTCTTGGCAGATGTCACTGTAACCTGTTCTAAAGGCTCCTGGTATATCACGAGCTCTTCAGAGCAATCTCTCGCAGTGCTTTGGTATTTGTACTATCATCATCTTTCCTCTCTACTACCTACTAGGAATCTTCTTCAGTTTGCACACAGCTTCTATTTTCTGTCCTCTACAGAGCTGCTGGAGACGTCATTGTCTTGGTTACTGTAGTCTGCTATGTATTTGACTAAGTTTTTCAGTTTTTGCTACTTCAAAGAACTTAGGTCTTTTCAAGTTTGGCTTATAGCTCACATTTCTGGACACATGTGAGTTCTTGCATCTTTCACCTTGGATTACTGCATTCATTTATTGAAGGGTAGTCATGGTGGCTTGAGATCAGTTGCAACTGAATACCCACCGAGTTGCTCACTCAGTGCCTCTGTCCAGCAGGATGGGGGGAAGAACCAGAAGAGCCAGAACAAGATAAAACTCAGGGCCTGAGATAGTTTTAAAAATTGAGGAAAGAGACGGGTGACAAGTGATAGAAAGGCAGCCACTCACAACTTCCTACAAAAAAATTCAATCTCAGCCAGTCTCTGAGAAACAGAGCCTTTGGTTTTTATTCTTGAGCATTATATCATACAATATGAAATATCCCTCAGGCCAGTTCTGGTCAGCTGTCCTGGCTAGTTTGTGTTGCCCACAATTTTGCCTACCCTAAGCCTAATCACTGTCAGGAGAGGGCAGTGTAAGAAACAGAAAATCTTGGCACTCAGAAGTAGCTAAAATATTGGTGTGTTATCAACACTGTTTTAGTCATAAATCCAAAACGCAGCACCATGCAGACTGCTGTAAAGAAAACTGTGTTGCAGCCAGACAAGTACAGTGGTGGACCAACACCTCCAGCTGAGATGCTAGTGCTATGTACAGCAGAAAGATTGCTTCACATGTCTTTCAGTCCCATACTCGGTTCATCCACACTGACCTAGTTCAGCTTCTTATAGTACATAATCTATTGTTGCTCTTTTCCAAAACTACCCTAAATTCAAAATGGTGTATGACCAATGAGGTCTTCTTTTAGCTATAAAATACTTAAGTTTTTCAAAAAGTTGCAGTAAGCTACAGGTGACTTTCACAAAATTCATTACTACCTCATTCTAACATTATCACCTCTTTTTGCATCAAAAAATACAACCTTCTGAATGAATTGTCCAGTGTCAAATGCATCTGATTATCAGGAGGCAAATGAGCATTAAGTTCTTTATCAAATAAAGTTCCTTTTTGTTAAAAGTAGAATCCTCTCCTTGTGATTGTACAAGTGACTGGTGCATGTGTGTACTAACTTTCTAATTCTGGTGGAAAAGCTTGAGGATATAATCCTTTTCAGTGACAGGTGCGTTCTTAAATGGTGTTCTCGATACACACAAAAAAGTGGTGTTATGTAGAATAGTTAACAGCTATGGAAGCAAAATCCTAACCTCCAGCAGTTTCTTTATAAGAACAAATCAGCTTATGTTGGTAATGATTTCTAGTGTTTTTGTTTCCCCTGTTTAATCCTGATTTCCACCGCTGTGGAATACCTTAGTAAATCTGTAGCTGGAGCAGTACATTGACGTTTTTGGTGCTTGGATCTTAAAACAGTTTAAAATTGTTCATAATGTTCTTCAGGATTGTCTCATTACCTACATCTTGAACAGAAATGGATGATAAGGAGTGGAAAACATCCTGTTGGCTGTTTCTTTTGTGCAAGGCAGTTGGAGAAGTTTCCTTCCTGTTTGCATAATAGGTAATAGATGGTAGGGAGTGGGAAGCAGATGCAGGTTCTTCCTCCATAGTTACTTTGGAGACTTCTAAGAATTCTCTGTGACCACAGAGTTAAATCATTGTATTTCATATGGAATGGGATTGTGTAAAAGAATTTCTTCATCACTGAGAGGATATAATGATTACTGGAGGGAGATAAGGCACAGGCTTGTAATTTGACTGCCGTGCAAGGACAGTTAATGCTAGTCTCTTCAGCAGTATAATTTATTTAAGCTGGAGATTGTTGTTGATTTCCTTTTAGCCTCTGTCTAAGGCTGTAAAGGTAACCAACTATCAAAATATTACTGACTGACTTTTTGTGCTTCTTTCCTTTTTTTTTCTCCTCAGTGATTTCTAAGGTGATTGGATAGACCAGTATACACTCTGACATGCATGGCTGTGGGCTTTCTTGTGGTAGAATCTTGCTAATTTTTAGAATCTTGTTTATTGTATTTGCTCTACTTTGTTGAATTGTGGATGGGTGATCTATTTATCTGTTTGCAGACTTCAGTGTTGCTTATTTACTGTTTTCTAAGTTTCTAAGAAAACACCGTGATGTTCATTGGGAGGCTTTTCACTTGTACAAACATAAGTCTGGGGTCTGAACCCAGGCAGGTTTGCACTTATTTTAATCGTAACATCCATTACTTTCTGACCTCTCATTAAACCAAAGCATAATACATGAGATTTTTTTTTATTGTCTTGTTTACAAGATACATTAGCAGTTTTATTACATTCATTTTTTCATTGGTAGTTCAGCAGCAGTATATGATTATTAATTTTGCTCTTACCTGCAACCTGCAGTTCAGAGTTTGTTGAGCGCTTTCTGCTTGGGCGGGGCAGAGTAGAATCACCTGCATGAACTCAGGGTGACCATGTAGTCCACTGTAGCACATGGCACTTAACTCTTTGTCCCTGGCATATCAATGGTTTGAATCCATTTATGTGCATTGATTCTCAAGAAGTAAGGATACCTAGCTGTATTTGGGAAGCTACAGTAGCTTTGTGCATTATTATTTCATTCTAGACTTGTACTTTTAAAAATTATTAATGATGTGACCAATCCTAAGCCAGAAAATTTTCTGGATGCTGGTCAAAGCAGTGCTAGACAACATCACTGTTCATAAGCTGATCTCACTTGAGTTGTGCCAGTGTATCACTGACTTGTGGTGTGGGAGTTGGTTTTAGTAAGATGTTTCCTATATGGAAGTGTGCCTATGCCCAACTTCAGAGCATTGTTTGTTATTCCAAGATGTCTGCACAGAAATAGAATGCAATAATGAATTCCTTATTTAGGATTAAATCTGAATAGACTCATGGTTTTGACTGAGCCATGGAGCGCTTCTGCTACATGGAGCTCAACGTCATCCAATGGTTCTGTTTCAGTTGTAACGTAATTTTCTCTTCAGGCAACTTCTTTCATACTTTTGCGTAAATGGATAATGAATATTCAAAGCTCCTGTAGCTTCAGCAGTGGCACAGATGAGGGAGATGGCCTTTTGTAACATTCTGAAGGGTGAAAGTGAAAATCTCGTGGAAAGATTAGATTCTTAGAGATGTCTAAAATTGAACTGACTTTTAGAGTCTGCTTTATTTTTCTTCCAACCCTCCCTTAACACAACTAATAGCTGGGAACAGTTCTTTTACATGGTAATATAGTAAGCAGGGATTTAGTTAATAAAACTTGAAAGTTATGGGATGTTAATAATTTTTATACCAAGGTAAAATGACACACAAGAGGTAATCTGACTAGCACTTGAAGAAGAGCAGGATTTCTAGGTCATGAGTCTGTAAAAAAAAACAAAAACAAAAACACCCACCCAAAAGTTATTTTTATCTTAATTTCTACCAAAACCAGTATTCCTTCAAGTCTCTGGAAATCACAGTTCTGTGACTTCTGCTTCTTCAGCTGTGCAAAGCCAGCATTTTAGCCAGTTTCTCCCATGAGAAAATGGGGTTGAAGCTCATGTCAGTTGAACTGAGGAAGGGAGAAGGGGCAGGACACCTGGCTGTAATGAAGATACCCAGCTTTTAGGTGCTTTTGGAAATCCTTGGATTGTGCCCCAACAGTAACTGGCTCTTGCTGTGGTTCTTGGGGCTTGGTGCTTGGTATAATTGGAATAAAAGGTCTCAGTTAACTGAGTGTGTCAGGCTTTATAGAAGAGCATGAAATGTATGATACTGCCTGCCTGACCTGTTGGAGAAATGGATTCTTAGTTCTGTGGGGTTTATTTTTTTTTCCCTCAAGTATTCTGTTCTGTGTAACTGCTCAACAACAGTTGCAGGACTTTTTAAGTCAGTTTGAGCTCTAGTAATGTGCATCAGCTCAGTAAGTTTTTCAGAAAGACAGTGCCTCAATGGGGACATAAACTGCTATCAAGTTCTCGTCTGTGCCTTTGCACTTACACTTCAAATATAAGGTTACAAATATGTTGGGGTGCTTTTTGGAGTGTGAGTCCATTATATGACACCTTACTACTGCTTATAATTAACCCCTCATGCATCCCTTTTAGTGTGCTAGGCTTCTTCCTGAAACATTTAGCTGTAAAAAGCATTGGCTTACTGTGTGTGTATAAAAGAGCTGCTCAGAGCTTTGGAATCTCACTTTATTAAGTGGCCATCCAGTGCCACTTATACATAGGGATGATGAATGCTTTAGGCGTAAATCCATTTGTTGGCTATGTTGTTACTGTTTTCAAATGCATTCTTAAATAGTAGAGTAACCAAACTATATCGTATCGTACTGCTAAAAGATGAGATAGGAAATTGGAGAGGAGGAAATTCTAGGTGTTGGCTGGGTCACGCTTGAGAATTTGTGATACATTTAACCTTTAAGCATTCTTCACGTAATTGTAAGAAAGAATCCAGGAAATAATGATTGCCCGATTTTTAGTTCCAAGCATTAAATTTAATTTTCACATTGCCACCAGAGGGCAGCATGTTCCACGAGCTGGCCGTGCTGAACGTGATCTCATACCTGATTTTAGCCCAAGATGAACTTGCAAAGTCTTGAGTTTTGAAAAGGATCGGTTATTCATTTTTCTAGTTATGCTCAGCTTACAGCAAAGTCCTCAGATTCTTCTCCTGCCATTAGCTTTCTGAGAAATTCAAGTGACATTGTTGACAATATGCAAGTGAAAACTAAATGTAGTTTTATGATGTAGTTTGTGTAATAAATTACTCGCATTTTTGTGCCCTTAACTTATTATTACTCCTTCATACAGCTTCCATGAAGCAGAAGTATCAGGAACTTATTCCTTTACCTGTTTCTTGCATTGTTGTTACCAGTTATAGAATTCATTCTTCCTGGATTTGTCTCAAGGATAGTAAAACTGTATTACTCGTTTATTTGTGCGATGATATGAATGTTGAAGTTGATTTAATTCTACATTCAGTGTTTGTAGGATTAATTTATCTTAAATGCAGTATCTGTAGTGTTTGGTAGTTGTAGTTTTGGGTTGTTTGTGGGGTTTTTTTTGGGGCAAGCATTGATGAGACATGACTTCTTGATTCTCATGCTGCAATAGGATCTGGGAAACTCCTTATACAAATAATGTAAAGTGATATTATACTGATATATTGTGATTTAAAAGCCTCTTTTTGTTGGCTTTGCAGTAGGTGCAGGCATGACACAACAGGCAGATCACATCTTGCAAGACTCACTTTCCCACTTGTACAGTAATGCACTCCTCCTCAAAGGGGCATTGCTATTATTTAGGAATCTAGTTATAACGAGCATACAATTGAAAAACACACTGCATTAAACAAATCACTGAATAACTTGTATAAAACCTTTTTTAATGCTGTTATACAGTTATATTCAGCAGTCTCATGCATAAAAGCCTAAGTAAATTGCTGTTTAGAAAATGGCCAAGAGTTAAACATTATATGTAGACATTTTGCTGAACGTACATTGTTTTCTTGAATTTCCCCAACATGTAGTCAAGGATTTTTATATTTGGAAGTCTAACATACTGATTTTGCAAAAGTCACTTCCTTTTATGAGTAATACAAGTACTGTGTACTAGGGCATTGCCAGCTTTCAGGTGATTATGTAAAAATGCAGGGTGGGTCTGGTACTGCCTCCCCTGGAGTGGTGAAAATGAACCTGGACCTGATTTGGGATGGAAAGGCATGAGTATCTTTGTCTAGTGTTTCAGTAGAGCAGCATTATGGGAACATACAGTGCAACTGCAGTAGGCTTGGTAGGCAGCCAGCTGAGCCCTTGTGGGCTTGCTGGTGAGATCTTGTGTGGAAGTGGCTAAACTGCACCTGGATCCAAGCTGGCGTGTGAGGTGCTACAGCTGTGCTCTTGCAGTCCCCTGCACATGGTCTTATAAATCTAAACTGGATTTGAGGGGAAATCACTCTGTTTTTCTGCATATATGACTCAGTTAATCTGAAAATAGGATAAACTGCCCATAAATAAAAGTTTATAGTATATTGTATCTTCCAGATAGGAGTTGGAATATGCAGTATTAAGAGATTTTTGGAAGAAGTCAATTATACCAAGTTCACCTTCTTGTCCTTGCTAATTGGGGCACTAGTATGCAAAGCCAAAATCTGATTTGATATTCTTAAAGCAGGTAGACTGCTGTTTTTTTTGTGATGTTCTCAGGTGATTGAATCTGCTCACACTTCAAATCATAAGTTAACTTAAAATACATGGATGTGAGAAATAAATGGAAGTGTCAAGGGATTCAAGTCTCTCTTCATGTCTGATTAGTAGCAATTTTTCAGAATAAATACAAAGAGAACATGAGGTAGACATATTATGAGCTATGTTCTTATAATTTGTTTTCAAATGGGAATTATTTCTGTGGCCCAGTGCAGCCTGGCATTTTGCTATGCAGAGTAACAGTATGTGCTGTTTAACACTAAATATGTCATCCACCAGAATCACTGATGGGAATGGGGTAGTCAGATAATGACGTCAAGAGAACTGAAACGGTAGAACTGAGATGAATGGAATATTTGGGTTTTTCAGATCAACAGTTTCTTGGCTAATATGTTTAATATTAAAATATACAGTACTGAATGCAGTATGCTCTTTTGCTTTCTACAGTATGTGTGTAGTAACAGAAGGGATTTTGTGTTTGTGCGGGCTGTTTTCCAGTGTGTTTTATTGGTTTTTGTGAGGATAGATGCATTGCTACAATGACTGCTCCTGAGTATATCCAAAAGCTCCAAAAGTTAATTTATTCTCAGTTGTATTAGTTTATAGTCTGTCAAAATTCTAGTTTGTTGCTCTAAAGTAATTTTTATAGATTTAATGTAATTCTCATGGAATTAATTCTGAAGTCTTGGTGTACTTAACCAGAATCTTGTAGAACAGTTAGAAGTGCCAATTGTTAAGTGCTTGTTTACATGAAGTTATCATAACGCTTTTTTAAGACTTCAAGTTCTGTTTAATGTCCCGCTGAAGTAGAAGTAAGGATCCTCACAGATTCCAGCTGTGTGAATTTTCAGAGTTGACTTATACCTTTCAGTAGGCACATGTATGAGGCCATTACAATAATTAGTATGTTATCAGGAACAAAGATAAGTTTGAATTTTTTTTTCCTTACATAGAAAACTTCAGTTTCTGAGGAATTTGAATCAATTCGTAGTTGGCTGAAAGCCAATTTTTCTTCTCAACTCTAACACGTGTTTGAAAAACGAACTCGCTTCCTAAGTGCCTTGTGAATCTGCAATGATTAATTCTTCTCATTATTTTGCTGCAAATTCTCATGACCCTCTGTGATGATTCGATCACCCACTTAGAGTTTATGCATATTCATATCTCTCTGCTCCTGCTGCAGTCGTTCAAGTCTCCTTCACTGGCTGTGGTGTGTGCTTGGTGCAGTAATTGAGCTGCAGTAGATTGATTACTCTGGGGAGCTGTAAGGCCTTTAAAGGTGAAAACATATCAGTCCTGTTAATTAGGAAACAAAGCTCTGGTGGCAAGTTCAGCAGTCAAATGCTTCCAGTGTAGAAATGAGGAAAGGTATGATTTGTTCCTCTCCATGAACCCTGTTTACTTTTTTATATTTGAATTAGATCTGTATTTGCTGTAATAGGCTTGTGCAGAAGGTAGCATGTCTTGTATGATTGCATGCTGTTGGTATTTTAAAACAAAAAGAACTGTATGTTTATTGTAATTACTAACTGCTCTTAATCACCTCCTAAATTATACATTATTTTATGCATTACTTGACCTATAAAGCTAAATGAGAGATGAAGAATGGAATCATTGATTGTAAACTTTAACCAAAAACATTTATATCAGTTACCTTTTCAGACCTGAGTGTCAAAGTATTTTCTCTGAATTAAAACAATAGAAGTTGTTATAAAATCTGGGGCCTTGCCTTTCTTCTATTAGGATGTCTGTTGCCCATTGTGTGCAAGATTAATTAAAGAGAATACATTCTTAAAATTAGGTGAATATTAAATGATAGTGTAAGGTTTCATCCAGCAGACAGCATCCTTACATCATCATTGTAAGTACCCTGTGGTTTTATGTTGCTAAGCACTCTAATCTAGAGTGGCCTATTACAAAGATATTAAGGGTTGGGGAAACCATCTGCCACACAATCTATCCATAAGGGTGAGAAATAAATAATTTAAAAGTAATTTATATATCTTAAAAACCACTTTTTCCCTGTAATTACTGGACAACAGATTGTAGAATACAGATGTTATGAAAATTGCCAGTGTTTTTGTAAACAGCGTGTGATCCATTGCTGCTTCAGGGTGGGTTATAGGATGCTGTTGACATACCTGTTTCTGCAGAGGTCAGGAGGGAAAGTCTCACTGAAGCAACTGCACATGAGATTGAATTCCAATTAGTGCATCTTACACCAAAGGGTATCGCATTCATTGTGTCTGTCGTCTTTTTTCCTCTGTTTTTTAGGCGTTTATTAATACTGCAAAGGAGATCTACGAGAAAATCCAGGAAGGTGTTTTTGACATTAATAATGAGGTAACTTTTAGTACTCTGTATGCTCTCTGCTTTTTAATAGTACAAAATTCACCTTCCCTAGAAGGCTGAACAGTAAAAGATTTGTCTGTTCCGTTTGGATGTAGAATTGTCTGCTGTTGTGATAAAAATGGATTAAAATAAGTGACCCTATCCATCCATGAAGCATCACAAAATAATATAAATCCCCAAAAGAGAAGAAAATCCACTTTCATCCACTTCTCCATATGGTGTCATCTGTTTTCAAAGATAATTTTCCACTATGTAAATGGGGGACCATGTTGATATGCCAGATGCACTCCATGAGCTGTCCAGTGTAGGGGAGGGATTGCTTTGAGAGTTACATAAAAGACTTTTGAAATGTTCCTGGTTTAGGTGGCTGGATACTGTAGGGAATAAAAGATTAGCCATTTTGCTTATGCACATTACTGAAATTACAGATTACCGGGGCCTTTGCCTTTGCTTGTTTGGGATGGAGAGCTGGAGAAAGGGGAACAAGAGCTAGAAAGACCTATAATGTCTCTTGAATTTTGAAATGACTGTGCTGTTGAAAATCTTGCTTCATAACACTAGGATTGTATAGAAATATTAAGATTGTATAAGCTCTCTGTTAATAGTTCTCATTAAAAAATTGACAATGTGAGGGGAGCACTCTTTTCTGAAGACTGAGTTGGGTTTTTTAATCCTGCATGTCCCTGGATATTGTTGCTGAGGTGCTTAGTGAAACCACATGTGAAAATCTTCTCCACCACTGTGTTCTGTTTCTGCTCTGTGGAGAGGTGTGTCCAAACTGCCAGTGTGATGCTTCTCTTCAACGTCACAGTCCTTGCAGGATTGTTCAGAGTAGAGAGGGAATTGGCAGGACTCAAATTAAGTAGCTTCATCTCTTTCTGCTCAATATATTTCAACATGAGAAAACTTAGACTATCAAAAATATTACTCATGACTTCAGAGAGGAAAAAATGAGAAACTTCAGTAGTATGCAAAGTAATGCATCAGGAAGCTTGTAGTTAAGTAAGACTTGAATAGTAATCCTCTAAACTAGTTCTGACTGGAAAGTTATGTGTGCATGTTGGTGAAACACTTCTTAAATTCAGTTCAGTGATGAAAAATTTAAAATCATCTTTCACATCTTTCCTGAAGAAAATGCAGTATAAATTAGTAGCGCAATATAAATTGGAGAGCAATCAGAGTGTCTGAAAAAGCGTGCTCGTTGTATCTGTCGAGTTTCATATAGTAGCTGACTGCTTTACTGTGCCTTACAGAGCTTTGATTGCAATATGCTGTCAAGAGCCAACAGTCCGTGCTACTTATTTGGCTTTATGCCAAGTCTGGCTCCTTGATTCCTCAAGAAGTTGCTATCAGCCCAGAGGGGGCAAAACCAATGAGCCATAGGGCATGCTTTTTATTAAAGAGGAGTCAAAGAGCGAAAAGAAACCACATCAGCTGCTGTCAATACTGAGCGAGTGCCAGAAACCCGAAGGCTACCACTGCTGCAGAACAACTGCCAAGCACTATAAATCTGAGATTTGCTGTGACGCAAAGTTTCCTTAAGAGCTTAATTTCTGAAGCTACTGTATTACTTTTCTCAAAGTGCTGTATTTTTAGGTAAAATCCACTTGAGGGAGTGAGGGTTAAGATATAAGTGTGATTTTGATGAATGAAAGAGCTACGCTGTGTGTGGGTTCTTGGCAAGTAGCCATGTCTTTTGGGATCACAGAAATTATTGATGACACAGAACACTCGTATGCCCTTAGCCTCTACAGCTGATTCAACACAGAAAGAAATGCTGCCTAGAGAGGAAAAGTTTTATATAAAACTATTAAACTAGTGGAGATTTTGGCAAGAGGGGAGAGGTTATACATTCTTAGCAAATGCTGTGTATTTTTAAGCCATATGCCAAGTAGTATTCAAATACAATTCTTTCTCTGTGGGGTTTTTTTTAGAATTCTAAGCTACAGAATGTAACATGGAGATAAAATTTAAATTAGAAGCAAGGCATCTTACTTTAAATAATACTTAATCATTAAGAACATGCTGGGAAAGAATTACAAACTTTGCTATATTTATTACATACATTAGGAGAACTTGTTATTTGATCTTCTAAATAGAAAAAGTAGCTTTTCAAGTATATTATAAAATATTTATGCTGTGTATTAAACTTCATTTCAGGCAAATGGCATAAAAATTGGCCCTCAACATGCTGCCACCAATGCAACACTTGCAGGCAATCAGGGAGGACAACAAGCTGGAGGAGGCTGCTGTTGAGCCTGTTTTTACTTTCTAGCTGCCTGGATGGGGCCTACTTATTTGTTTGTTCACCCTTCCCTCCCCCTGCCCCGCTCGCCTCCACTTCAATTCAACTGAGACATGAAACTCGTAAGTCGGTTTCCTGTTGCAGAAGACTTTATCCTTCAAATTCTTGTATAACTTTGAATAAATGGTTAATGTTCACTTAAAGACAGATTTTGGAGATTGTATTCATATCTATTTACATTTGATTTCTAGGTCAATTGATGTGATTATTTTTGTTAAATGTTGTCTTGTGCCCTTGACTACGAACTGAATTGTATTAAACACTACAAAGTCATCTGAGTATTTTAATCAGTTTGTGTAGTTAGGTTTCCCAGCTCCTGAGGTTACCTAATGTTTAATATTGTAGAGCTGTCCTCAAGTTTTTTGTCAATTTCCAAGGCTATGAAGAGAAGCGGAAGGACTCTTTTAATTCTGTATTTATCACTTTCTGTATATATAGTTTAATAACCTGCTTGGGTGTACTTGCCAAGCTAGAATTCTTTAATGCATTTGCATAAAATCTATACTACTTAGAGCTTGAAAACTACAGAAGCATTAATAGGAATTGCTTGGATGCTAAATTTTAAGCCTTTTTGACATTGTTAGCATGTTCATGCTCCCCTGTCATTATCCTGAAGTCCAAGAGAGATGCTTAATGTATATTACTAGAGGCTACATACGTGCTATCTATTTTAATGCCAAATGTTTGCTGTTTATCCACAATTTCCACAACACCTCTTCAGAAATGGATTAGCTGTTTGCCTTAACAAATACTATAGGTGAAAACAGAGTATGAATGAAAAGTAGAGGAGGAGTTGATAAATTTAAAATGGCACATTCTAAAAACATTAATCTTCTCAGTGTTTTTTTTCTTGTTTACCACTTGATTTCTAGGTATATTTTTCATGCAAGGACAGTTTTTCAACCTAAATGTATAGTGGTTGTGTAAAGTTTTCTTTTAGTGACAACTTGTAATCCTAAATATATGGTAAGCATCTTGTCTATTGTGAAGAGGGTGTGAAAATAAAATCTGCCAGTTTGGAAATCTTGATGAAAATCAAAACTACAAATGTTTTGTTACTTATTATGGTGATGGCTGGGGGGTATATTTTTCCTCAAAAGAAAGGGTTGCAACACTGCAAAACAAAATCCTGTGTTTAAGTGTTTATTTGTTAAAATACAGAATGTTCATGTCACCTTTCATACAAATGTGCAAATAACTGAGTTTCCATCTCATCCTATTTAAACAATTGCAGACAAAAGGGTGACACTAGTGCTAGGCCATGCTTCGTGTATTGGGCAAAATAAAGGGGTGGGGGCAGGCAATGACTGCAAAACTTTTGTCTTACTGGACCAATATTGACTGCAACACAACACTGGGGGAAAGGGATCCTCATTTCACCCATTCTATTTGTCAGAACTTGAACATCCAGAGTGAATAAACTTCAGCCTGATGGGTGTAACATAGCAACTGAGATTAAATAAAATTTGAAAAAACGGTGTGGAACCTTTTGTTGGTATATTGGGAAAGGGGGAACCAGTATGGATTTGTTAGTTTCTGACTTCAATTTTTTTACACCCTTAGGAACATTTTCATCAATGTAATGTAATTGTTTTCAACACTTAAATTAAGAGGTTACCCCATGTACATACTTTCAATGGTTATCTGTTTATTATACAATGTTTGCATTTGTTTCAGTTGAAGTTTGAAAATCGCGTTGCATGACAGTAAAACCGTAGGACTGAACTGCATGGATGACAAGGGAAAATGGGCATGTCCTAGCTAGCTATTTACAAGAAGGAGTGAATGAACAAGATTATTAGCTTGAATTAACTACTTGAAGTTTTTTTTCACTTGGCAATGTTATAGAATTCAGTTGCTTGAGATGAGAGAAAAGTGTGCTCTTGTATAACAGCCTGAGCTTCAGTACAAAGGGGAATAAAGTTAGCCATAGAAGTTGTCCATTAAGGGAGCAGAGGGGGAGATTTGTAACTGCCCCTGAGAAGAACAAAAATGGGCTCTAAGTGGTGATGATTTCTGACAGTCTCATTTTCTGAAAACATGGAAGAGGTATTGAATTGCCCAGGAATCCAGGGCTACTATAGTAAAGAGCCACCAGTGCTGTTTTTCGGGGGGTGAGAGGGATATGGGAATATGCTTTGACTTACTAAAGTCATGTTTGCAGTCAAGTGCTGATCCTGCTGGTTTGGTCCTGGGTCTCATGCCAGTCTTAGACTGTACATTATGTTAAGACTGTGGTACTTTGAAAGAGTAGCTAGAACAAAACTGAATTTTTCATGCATTCTGACTGGCTTTTGTCACAAACTTTATGCACTCAGAAACCTTTTGTTGCTACAGAAATCTGTATATTTTGTAGGGGTTCTTTTTGGGAAGTCTTTATACTGTTTTATTGAAATAGAATTTGAAAATTTTATACCATGGAACTTAGCAGGAGGGTTTACTTCTAAAACATATACTTCAACAAGATCATTCTTTCACAGATCTCAATTTTACTTGTCTATGAGTGACTGATAACTTGCTGAGTTTTCATGTTAAATTACAGTTGCTTTTGTTGGTTACATTTTTACAACCAAAGAACCAAAACTTGTAATTGTACAAGTTTCCCAGGAACTTGTACAGCTGTTACATGTAATGTGAAGCTTGATACCAAAAAATCATACCAAGGTGCAATTTTTCCCTTAATCCCAGTTTAAAATATAGTATAAAGCATAGTTAACTTAAAAAATAAAAAAGGAAGATTTGGGTGATAAACCCTCTAAGCATGATTAAAAGCTTGTCTCTCCCATTTGTACTAAAAATTAAATGCTCCAGGAATTTTGGTAGTCACTGAAGAAAAATGACCAACTCCCCGTCAGTCTTAGACCTCTGAATCTCTTTTGGCTTCAGTCATTCTGATTTATTCTTGTGCAGATCGGACTCAGCAGTGAGTTAAGGTAAAACGACTGCCAAAACGCTTGCTGATAAAGTAACAAGTGGCTGGAACCCCTAGCGAGCAGTGAGAGCTCCATCCCCTGTTCCAGAGTTGTATCCTTTCTGCGGTGTTACACATTCTGTGACACTTAGTTTCTTGTGCTGACCTTTGAAGAGTCTTTAGCTGCAACATTTATATGTTGTTTGGGCTAGAAGAGCACACACTAAATGACGTACATTTGAACTGGGAAAGTTATTTCTGCCTTAAGAGTTTACCTGTGACTGTTAGGGCTTTGAATCTGTTCTTGGGAAGACGTTGAAACCTTTTTTCAGGCTCAAAAATACAATTAAACTGAATCAGAATGAAAAAAAAAAAAAGTATATTAAATGAACTTGGAGATATCAGATGTCAATTTTGAGCATTGCATGATTTTTTAAATTTTTTTAAGTAGTATTAAAGTGGGTACCCCAATGTGCCTGTATTTTTCTCTTATTTTTTGTTACCAATAGGGTATTGCTTTTGTAAGTACTGATACCTGAAGTACTGATTCCTCTTAACAGACTGCTTTTTTGATACTACTGAGTGTCATACAAATTCCTTCAAGTGCTTTTTTTAGTTGATTGGTTTGGTTTGGTTTTGGGTTTTTGGGGTTTTTGTTGTTCTAAATCAAGTTTCTCCTGTGTATTATCTCCTTTTTGTCTTTTCTGTTTTCATATTGTTTCATTCAAACTAAATCCTGCTCTCTGTCTTTACTTGCTCCACGTCCATAACTCCCACACTTACAGGAATTTGCCCATTATGGGGCATTTGTTTTAGGGGTGGAAGGGTGGGGCAGAGGGAGAGAGGGATATGTGTGATATCTGGCTGCATGATATAAAATCATGAAGGAAGTATTGCACAGGCTCTGTTACTTGTTACACCTACTGTGTGTACTGGTTTGCATGTGTAGGGGGATATAATTTGCCTAGTCCTCTTCCACTATTGCCTGGGAGGAGATAGGGGAGACGGAGGAAGACTAACAGGTTTTATTTGGATATCTTAATAAATTTGTTTGCTGAGATCATATATATGATTTGTGTATACTTAATGTTCCTCTCCCTAGAATCTCTGGGTTCTTTTCTGCCACATTGCTGCAATGTAACTTTAACAGTATGTGGTGGTGATTTATTGTAATACACTACTGAAATCTCCATTTGTAAATAATCCAGGCTGCTGCTGTGTAAGTAGCTGATGAAATGTCTTTACTGGGTCTGCCGCGTATGAAAGAAACCACAACATTAGGCAATAAAAACTACTAACAGAATGTTACGAAACCAAGACCATGACAAAAAAAGCAGCATGTTGTGGATCTATCATTTTTATTCTTGGGACAGATTTTTATTATTTTTGGAACTATTACAAGACTTATGTTAAATATTGTGGATGATAAGAGGAAACAGACTCTTGGCAAACATGGAAAACCAATTACTGCATATTACCCTATTCCCTTTCCAATAAAGGAGGGGCAGAGCGAAAAGTTTATTCTTTGCTTAGCAGCTGGAGGAGGGGGGGGGCAAGTGTTGCTGCTTTAGCATTGGCTTGAGGAAAGATCGATGCAGCAACAATCTTACTGCAAGCGATCCAAGCTGGAGAAGGTAAACCCAGCATGCTTCACAATCAGTTATACCCCAGCCTAAAAAAGCACACTGTTCTGAGAGTGCTGAGTAAAGAAATGGCTATTCTGTACCGTCAGGTATACTGTTCACTTCAAAACAAATTTTAAAAACTTGTGTTTGGTTGCAAATCTCTGTGTTGTGGTGATAGGTAGTTGAATCAATATATAAACTGGAACACATATCTGATATTTATACATGGGATTTAACTACAACATCCCATGACTCTAGAGGTGAAGTAAGTATAGGAAAAACCTACTTCAAAGTTTATTTAGAAGTCTGCACATTCATTTATATTCCTCTCCCAAGTTACAGTTCTTGTAAAATTGTTCATGGCACCATGAACATAGATGAATCGATGCATCAGTATGTTTGTTGAAGTCCTTCTCCCCCCCCCCCAGCATAGTTATGATTTTTAGAATTCCTTCATTAAGGAGTCAGAGATACAAATGTTTATATTGGGCAGACTTTTGTTGATGGTTGAGTCTATGGTACATTTGCTGTAAATTACAGCAGGATCTAATTAGCCTTTCTTAAGTGAAGCCCAGTTCCATGTCTTTTCCTAGATTTAGACATAAAATACTGGAAGGAAGGAAAATTCTAAAGTGTGAGGACAGTTCAAAAGAGACCAAGGTACTATGCTAGCAATTGTCAGTTTAACATTGTCTGGGTTAAAGCAGTCAAGTAAGCACTGCATGTTCTGATTATGGCATGGGAAAACATTTTCAGATGCAGGAAATGTCTGAAAGAATGTGACTTAAAAAACAGTTAAAGAACAAGTTAAATAACCATGGGCTTGCTTGCTGTCTCCCAAGATGAGGCAGGGAGAGGCTGTCAGTTTGAGGCATTGCCCAGCACCTGAGCACTGACACCCATGCCTGGGCCAGTGTTGCTACTCGAGGACTGGACCAGCTGTGAGGAGGGAACTTAAAAATTTGGATGCTGTTGACAGGTGCACAATTGACAGCACTAAGGCTGGAGCTTAGGTAGTGTCCAGAATTTGTAGGATACATGTGAATTAATGGTTTTTTAGAGGAGGAATGGGTACAGAGACAGTAACAGAGGAGATGGGCAAATTTACTTGTCAGCTGTTAGCTCAAAAAAAAAAACCTAATCCATGTACAACACCTGTCTGTGATTGTTGTATACAGATGCAGCAAAGCTTTGTCTTGAATGTAGTTAGAAACAGATTGTCCTTATGGGGTGTTTTTATCCCATTTTAATTTATGAGGATGACTAGGCCTTTGGTTGCTGGTTAGTGTCATGTCTAAAATACTTAAGACAGAGAATATCAGAGCACAAAGGAATTCCTGTGTTTGGTGCCCTTGAGAGTCAATTCAGCCACTTCTAAGCAAAACGTGACTGACTGACCTAAGCCAGCTGGTCACTGTTGAAGGTCTGTCAGCCATCAGCAGTGCACAGAAGTCCAGTGGATGGGCTCTGCTGCTCCTCCTTGTGCAGTGTTGTTCAACTTTCATCTCAGAAGTAAAACATTTCTGCACAGAAACAAAAGCACTTGTGGCATCTCCCATAGTTAACTGCTATGAAGCAGAAATTAAGTATGTGAACTTGTGCAATATTTTAATTCTGTCTAGGAAGTTTTTCTAAAAAGCCATGTAACTCCAGAGAAAAAGGCATCCTCGTGCAGGACTGACCACTGTGCATCATAAATTCAGTGCTTTGGCTTTTGTCTGTGTTCCTATCCCAAGTCCAATTGTATTTTCTTTCCAGTTTACTTCTCTTCTCCTACCTTTTCCTTTCCTTCTTGGAGTTTGGATGTCTGTTTAAAGGAAATGATTCAAGAAAGAGTAGCATATTTTCAGTTCTCTATTTTTCTAGAAGACCTGTATTAACTATCAGTGGTAAAACAAAACACTTTTCTACTTTGGATGAAGTGATGATTGCTTTTAACAATGTCACTG